AAAAAAAAAAAAAAAAAAAAAAAAAAAAAAAAAAAAAAAAAAAGAAAAAAGAAAAAAAGAAAAGAAAAAAAAAAAGAAAAAAATCGGTCCATTTTATCTTCATTTTATAAGAAATCTGAATCATAAAATTAAAATAATAATTACTTCAATAACGTTTTATCTACCTAACGTACACGCAACCTTACATCTATGTATGTATCCGATTACGGTAACGCTTTTTGATTATCTTTTCTTCCTCTTCATTCTTCTTAATTTCAATATGGCGACATTCAAATCAGTCTATTGAGATGTACACGTTTCTCGAGCTTATCCATAAGAAATTATCGTAAAAAGTATCATTTTTAAATTACTATTAAGGCAGTATGGTAATATGACTCGACTTACATACATAGGCTTTAAGCCTTTCACAAATCGCTCAGTATCTGTCAGATATGTGCGTGTTTCCTATTCATCGAGAAAATATCAAAGAAATAAAGTTTAAAGCATTTTAAAACTCAATAAAATGTTTACATAATTTTAGTATGCATAATTATTCATCAATTTTCATCATATTCCTGAACTAACAATCTGAATATATAAATTTGTGTAATGTTACACAAATAATTCACAATTTTGATTAATTTCTGTCATCAAATTATTATTAAATTGGAAGAAATTCAAACTTGGTCCTCGCGCAATCGTTAAATACTAAGAAAAGATCGAGAAAAATCTAATGAACAACAATCAATAAATAAACGAATGGCTAACAAAATTAATAAAATAATCATTATGAGGCAATCATTCTCCTAAAGTATCGTAATGATTATTATTACTTATCATCGCTACCGTGGGAACATTGATACGAGAACGATTGCAATATTTCTCGAGGCAGTATAGAAAATAGTGACTGCCTATGAACCTTAGTAATGATTACGAATAATCTAATCCGTCCTAAACGTGTACGGATTCGAATTTATCGCGAAACTATTACTATTTTGTTTTCTTCAAACTTAACGTATGTCACACAAAAAAAACTTAGTATTTAAGAAATGATCAACTTCATCGACGAAAGGAAAAAATTTCAGCAATGAGCATAATCAGCGAATTAATATCGCATTCTAATCTAACTCTAGCAAGTGGCAGCATTGCTACAACCTGTTTCCAGCATAGCTGATTCAAATTGCTCGAGCACTTGCATACTCTCCGGAGATACAGCATTAATGCCCAGACGTTCCTTGTATTCGTTTCCAGATAATCGTCGTCGTGAGTACTTAATAGTGTCGTTCATTGCTTGTTCCGGAGTATCGCTGTCGCTTGTACTGCTATTGCTGCTGCTGCTGGTCGAACGTCTGCCACTAGATAAGTCTTGTCTCTCGGAATCAGCCTTATCATCAGGAACTGAGACCTCGTTACGAAGCTCCAAGAAATTGTTTTGTGCGTTACACAGAGAAGCTGAATCTTGTCGATCCTTCCGATTCTCTGGTACAATTTCTGTGAGAGATCCGATGCGTCTCGTATAAGTCACATCGGCTTGAAACGTATCAGTCAATGCGTCTTCATCTTCGTCAGGTTCACATTCGACTCTCACATATGTATTGCCATGTTTACGTTCATAAGTAACATAATCGTTCGATTTTGTCGAATTCGTAGCGGAATCAACTGATTCAACATTTTTGATAACATTATCGTTTTTTTGTCCTTTCTTCATCACAATCTTGCTCGAGAGCCAATTATTTTGTTTAACTTCTCGATCAACGAAATCATCTTCGAAATTGCCAGATGACAAGGATGTTTTAGTGACATATTCACTACTATTTGTATCTTCATCCGTAATTTCTGTAACTTCAAGTTCATTCCTTTCGGAAGTAGTACCGCTTTTGTATACTAGCTTTGCTCTAGATGGCGCTGGTATATGCGCTTCTTCCAATTTCACGTGCTCGAAGAATTTTGTGAGGGCACCACGCTGTAATTGGACCGTAGGTTCATTTCGTTCACCTGATTCCAGTTGGTAGCTTTGATGATACAACTGTTGCCGACCGACTGAGAAATCTTTGTTAGTTGCGCTGATGTCTCGTGGTTCTCGAGAATTATCGGTGAGGATATAGGACTTGTTATGGCCTGAGAACAATGAGTGGAGAAGACCACCGGTTCTTGGCCTATACTTTGGACGACTACTGAACAGGGTTGCTTCATCTGGCTCGGTTGACTTTGTAATTTGTAATTGCTTATCGGGTTCTGTACTATCGTAGGAAGGCAGTAGGATTTCTGTTGCTCTGGCAGATCGCAGTTGATTGATACCGAATTTATTTCTTGGCTGCCTGGATCTGGATTTTCTTCCATTGAAAGTTGATCGTTCCAATTGATATTTGGCCGTGATGGAGAGGTTCTCTGTGTCGATGATACGATTGAGGGCGGGTACTGCACGGTTTTGCTTTTTACGGTTACGACCGACGGCGTCAGACAATTGTTTTCCGATGAGCATAGAGGAGTCGGAGACAGAGATTTCGGTCTGAATGCAAGAGTTGTAGCCTGATGTGGTTGGCAGTTTATAATTGAGCATTGTGGTATGATTTTGGTCTTCGGAAGACTGATTTGTTCTTCTAGCTGGTTCTGTGATTTTTTTAACGATAAGGTATGACTGATGCTTTTCTGATTGAACACTGGTGACTGGTAACTGATAGGCATAGGACACTTGAGGCTCTGCTCTGTCGACATAGGCGATACTCGATCGGGGCAACTGGTTGAGGACAATGGAGGAGTAGGGCACGGAATTTTCTCGATGGTCGCTACTGATTGTGGTAGGCCCAACATCCGACTGGTTGACGCTATTGGAGGAGATTGGGATGAGGAAGGTTGAGGAGGGAAGCTGACTGATGCCGAGGGACGTGGAGAATCCCCGCTTTTTCTGAGTTGCATCAGTTTTATGAAGTCCACAAGCCGCTTTATAGATCTCTGCGTCTTCTCTTGCTTTCCTAATAATTCCTGGCGTGTGCGTTGCTGTAGCTGTCAAAAAAAATTAAACAATTAGCAATAATATATTATTGTAATAAAAAAAAAATCTGAAAAAAATATTATTACTTAGAATTAACATCGATTGCTATCTGATAATATCAAGATAAAAATGCACATGCTCTTGGAACAAAATTTAACTTGAAATATTTTCCTTATAATATTTACACGCGCTATTTTTTTTTAAACATTTTTCATACACGATTCTATATTCGACAATTAACTAGGTTTACTAAGACGAATAACATAAGCAATACATAATTTAAATTTAAGAAGACGAAACATTGAAACTAGTTTTTTTTATAAAACATTGAAGTTTAAGTTGTAGGTGAAGGAAGCATCGTGCATTACATACTTTCACGGATTAACGAACAAAATTATTACTGTAGATAAACAATGTATTTTACAAATTATACGAATAATTTATATAAAAGAAAACGATCAAATTTATGTCTGTATATATATACAGACAAACTCTACAGTAATAACACGAAAATAATTATAAAGTCAAGTGAATCGATTTTTTTATGAACCAAAAAATCAATTTTGTTATAAAAAAATCGACACGTCTTTCGAAAATAATATTCAAAATGAACAAGAAAAACGTAGAGATCTTGCAGGTTCTCACTGATGAAAAAACAAAAGATAGAAAATGTTTGCGTATAATTTCATTAACTGAATAGCATTCCAAATGAAAAAAAATTTGTGAATTTCTTTCTACGCAGGCCACAGGACGAACCTGAAGGGACTGGCCGAGTAGTTGTGAGCGTTTTTCCAACTCGTAAACCTGCAATCTCAGATCCGAGTTTCGCTTGCGCAGCTCATATCTTTCTCTCTCTTTCTCCTCTGCAAGATATTTCGCGTTCAATACACGTTGCTTTTTTGTGCCCTATTACTGACGATCGACCAAAAAGTTCTTCTTAATTGCAAATTCTTCTGCTGTATTTGAGAAGCCGGTTTCACTCGCGACACTTCTTCCGGCAGGCTGCTCTCTCGTTTATTCTCTCTGTGTGCTTACGGTCAATAAAGTCTGCGGCAACGCTGCGATACCTCGTTGCACGTTAAATCTAGAAATTGTGGACCCATGTTACACAATTTCCTGCTCTTCTTTCATATAATTTGTTTGCATTATCTATAAGTATTTTTTTTTTTTCATTATATTTTGCGCGTGAAACTCTTTTCTATCGCATACATAAAAATGTACGCTTCTGATTATCAAGTATAATCAAAAGTGCCGCTTTATTTTTATTTTATTTTTTATGTATATATATATGTATATATATATATATTTTTTTTTTTTTGTTATCAAGAGTATATCACTACACATCGAATGATCCCGGACGGTGCCGCCGCGAAATGAGATAAGCGTGCCACGAACATTCATAAAAGCTAGTGTCTGCAGGAAACAAGAACTTTTTTGTCAATCACACGATAAACTTTATACTACAAGTAGAAATCTTCCGAAAAACCAAAGACGCTTTACCGAATTCCTCATCTTTTTTAAACGATGGACGTCCTTCTTCCTCTCCTTCGTCACCGTCGTCAATTTCTTCTTCTTCTATTAACGCACATTTTGGACATATTCTTGGCGGCGCCGGAGATACAGAATGGCAAGATACGTGATAATTTGATGCACAATTTTCACATACTGTTAGTGTACCTGTTGAACCAAATTTTGATAAGTATTTTTAATACAAAGAAAAGCATAAATATGAAGTAAGATTGATGACACACCTGGATTTCTACAACTTATGCAGACTGCTGAATCACTGCTGATCCTCTCGATAGTTAGACTGGAAGGTAAACCTGGTATGTGAACTGCTTTGTTGCCAATCGATTGAACGGACTTTACAGTAGATACAGGTAACTGAATTTGAGTGGGTCCGTTTTCAATCTTGTTTTTATTAGGAAAAACTTTACTTTCCGTAACATTTCTAAGTATATTCGGTCGCGTGGTGGATTTTTGCACCGGAATTAAAGATTTCATCACAGTCCTAGTCGTTGGTGGTGATATGGATTTTGGTGGCACAACTTTTACAGGAGGTGGCGATGGACCATTCATACGCGCGGTTGTTTGACGAGTTTGCGGAACATTTCCAGATTGCAGGTACGAGTGTCGTTTTCGTTTCTAAAATATAAAACATAGGCATCGAAACATTAGATATCAAAATGCAATTCGATTAAAAAAGAGAAAATTCTTCGGTATTCACCGTTGGCACTTCAAGACTGGAATAAACAAATTGTGGATTTGCAGTGCTACGACGTTTTCTTTCAGCTCTTTTGTTTTGTAATTCGGCACATGTTGTAGTAGTAATAAGACCAAGAGCATTTAAGAAATTAAGTTTTTCAGTTGACTCTATTTTACATTCCTCTGATTCTTCTTTTTCGGATTTTTCATTGGAATTTTCGTCCATAGAAACCTCAATAACATCATCCTCACCGGAAATTGTCTCCACTGAACTCGATCGTTCCCTAAAATAACAAACTCTGCATTAAATTTCGCACAAGAAAAATTTGTATTATCAATTCCAAAAAAACTCCATATTAGATTTGAAATCTAATAATTAACAATAAAACTCACTTGGTAGGTGCGAGATTGCGGGTAGGTGAAGGAACATCTCCATTTCTAACAATCTCTTCGTAGTCCTCTTTCGAATTCTTCGTAGAAAAATCATTGCCGGTCTTAAGTTTATTTTCATTGTTATTTGTAATATGATTATTGTTATTCAAGCCAAGAAGCGATGCGATGGAAACTTTTGCCCCGTTTGCATTCTCCGCTTTAAATGTTTCGACTTCTTTGCGCAGTCGCTGGACAACTTGCTTCTGCGTATTGAGATAGGAAATTATGAGTATGAGAACTTCGGTCAATGATGATCATAGAAAACTTTCTTGGCAGACTGTGCGTTGCAGATCGTTTAAATATGAATGCATATTGCTGTTACGTTGCGAGTAAATATACTCTTATCAAGCGCAACGAATTAAGAAAATATTCCTTTTAAATATCAAAAGCAACATGTTATGAATGCAAAAGAAAAATCAATGAATAGTTTGTTATAAAAAAATCATTCAAATATACATTCTACCAAGAAAATTTTTATGCATTTCTATTATCTTCTAAATTATGATAAAACAATATAAATTATTTAAAAAAAAGCATATAAAATATTTGACATATTGACTTGAAATTTTAAATCTCTTATACATGATAATTAATATTTAATAAAGAAAAAAAACATAGAAAACAAAAATTTCGCCATGTAAGCGAAAAAAATTTCATAGATAAGTAAATAAAATTTTTTAAAATTCATTAATGGCTTTCCTTCGACATATATAACATATATATAATACATCGTCTTGGCGAAATAGTGAGCAATTTTCAGAAGTTTTCAAATATAAAAATTAATTTAAAATACAATAAACAATAATTAGAGAGCGATTTCGATGAAATGAGTGTGGAAAAACAGAAGCGGACGACATGCCAAGATGGAGATTAAAAAGGAGCGAAAAAAGAAAAAAGAAGAAAGGAAAAAAACGCGGAGATTTCGTAAAGAGCTGAAAATGTTTCTGCGGGACATTTTATTGATTGAGCCCCTCCGCCTCTGCCCGACCCCTACTCTGCTTCCTTTTCACCCAAGTTCCATTCGTTCTCTCTCTCTTTCCTATACATTCTCTGTCCGACATCTCTCTCGATCTCATATTCCCCGGTGCAGCCCCCTACTCACCCCCTCCACGTGTATCTCTATACACGTCCGTCTCTTTTACTCCCGGTTACTCTATCTTTATCCATTTCTATCCGTTTATGTATCTCTTTTGCTTCGACAGCAATCTACCTGGATCGGTCATTTATTGCTAACATGAAAAAAGAAGAAAAATAACCAGAAGAGCCAGAAGAAGAAAGGAGCTCTGGGAGAAACACGAAAATATAAAAGGGAAAGAAAGAGACGCATTCATATCGACGGGATTACCGTGAAAATGTTTAGAAAAGGATGCTGGGTGATAGCAAAGCGCATCCACCAAACCATCTTCAGGCAACACTAGCCCCGTTATCGATTCTTCGCGTCGATTCACGAATCCAAAAAAGAAACCCGCTAGTGATTTCTATAATTTAATGCGATATCGTGCATGTTGTTTTGCAAATATATATTAAAAAAAATATATTTCTTGTAATCATGCGTTTTTTTTTAATGATTAATTACAAGTAATCAATTTTTTATTTTTTATTTTAATAAATTAATTTTTATTATAATATAATTTTAATTTTATCAAAAGTTCCTATATTCGATTTATGTGTTTCTCAATTAGGAAATACGATATTGTTACTAAATGCGATACGAGTTTATGATAATGTAACAGTCACGTGGTAACATGGTAAAATAACTTTATGAAAGGCCAGAAAAGAAACGTGTATGTGAACAAGGAAAAAGTCTAATTATTCGACTTGTATCTTCGATCAACAAAGTTTGGCAAGATGGTTGATAAACTCACTCAATAAATTTACCATTTAATTATAATTACGTATTAATTATTCTAACAAGTATCCTATGAAAAAATTGCAAATCTAGCATACAAAATTGATACATAGATATTTGATTCCATAATATATGGGAAATTCATGATAGATGGAAAATTGATTTACTATTAAAACATTAAATTATATAAATCCCAAACTTAAAAATTATTTCGTTTCAACAGTATTTTATCGTTAAAAAGCAATATATCTTTATATAAAATTAACCTAATTTTTAATAAAATTTGAAATAGTAGATTGAAAATTATTAATATATTTTATTAAATATATAATCTACATCATCGATAGATAAGATTACACTCATTCTAATTATTATACTATTTTTAAAACATTTCTCTTATGCACATTTCTCTATCGATCGAATTAATGGGTATTTCGTTTATATGAAATCAAGGACATTGGTCGTCATGATTTTAAAACGTTTCCTAGACGATCCGTTATCGGTAGGATACTTTAATATGATATCGTTTCTATTTGCATGTAACAGATGGATATAAATATGAAATGTCTACGAACAAGCCTGCTCTGGATCATCGTGAAAGACTAAAGCTCGAGGAAATCGATCCTCAACTTACCTGGCACCTTCCCAAAGATACGATATGCAAGTGAATCTTTTGTATCTGACCAAGGATATCTGTATTCTGCAAAATGAGACAGGTTTTCATTAGATATACGATATATTTTATATTTATAGAATGTATGTATACAAATATATATATAAATTGTTCTCTTAATAATGCATAATAATAAAATTAAAAAATGAAATGAAATTTGATTAAATACAAATATATACAAACATAATTTGTCATAAATTTTGCTGTTATAAGAATTCACGCGTTGTAATTAAAAATTACAATCATGATATAAGAATTAATCAATAAAAATCGATCAAGTAATTTAAATATTAATAATATAATAATATTTGTAAATTAATTTCATTTAAAAAAAAATTTAAAAAAAAAATGTAATTTAGAAAGAATAAAAAAATTTTATATCATATTTTCGATTTTTAATTAATAGAAAAACTTTATCCTAAAGAATATTAATATATCGAATAGCAAACAAATCACAAATTATTTAACATTCATTAAATAAAATAAATCAATTATAATAAAGGTAAAAATATTATTAACAGTGATTTGATTTTTCGGTAAATATGATACAAGAGTATATAATATAAATTACATATTATGATTTTTCTGAAATACTAATTATGTTCTAAATTCGAATTTATAGAATTAATAAAAATAAGCGACTTACATTTGGGTCATCCTTCAATTTACCCACGCAAATCTGAAATTAAAAAAGAAAATTTTTAGATTAGTTATAATTTCAAAGATGATTCAAATGTTCAATTCAGAACATCCTCTGTCGCTATACTTTTGTACACGCGTCTGTGGCGTCTCTTTTGCGGCGCAATGACGCAATTATCGTAATATTGTGTGTCGATCAAATTAGAAAATGTGTACAAATGATCAAATGAATAATTTTGCATGGCTAAAAACTTCTTTTCCTTTTTCTAGCATTATTTAGCAATTGAAAAATAATTTTGAGAGAATTTCGTTTCATAGTAACTACTTTTAGTCAATGTCTAATAATAGTAAACAAGAGAAAAAAAGATCTTCAACAAGAATTGTATTGATCACCGAAGTATTCACGTTCAAAATAAAAATAAATATATTGTATATATTGTATTATTAATATATCGATGCAATATTAAAATAAACGCATATGAAGTATAGAATACTTACATACCAGTTTGACTTTGTATAATATATGATTTGAAAAATATTTTTAAAATGACATGAAATTTAAGAAATAATATCATTAAGTACCTGTTTCTTTCTCAATAATCAACGAAAAACATGTAACTCAAATATCTATTAGCGAGGTTAGTTTTAGCCGGTTCACAAATACGAATATTGATGTAATTTAATCAAATTAATAAATTTCTATCCTTAATATAATTAATAACCCTTCATCAGATATTCAAAATATTTTGTATGATTATATTAAAAAATAAATTAATTTCAATGAGATTAATATTGATTGAAATCAATATTCGAAAAGTATAGGTTAAATATACACTATACTCTTGCTTGGACAAAAAAATTCGATTTCGAACAGTTAGACCAGACAAGGTCGGTAGAGCAGGGCAGAATACCGATCGTGCGCGAACAAACTTTTCCCCATTGCGCACATATCCCCCTAGCGTTACAACTTGTTAATAAAAGTTTACAGTAAAGAGACAAAACGAGTGTTCGCATTATATACGATTCGATAATATTGGTTTATAGCAACATATATATTCAGAGTCGATAGAATACCTTGACTCTAGTCATTTATAATATACAATATGCTATAACAGCAAAAAGAACGTTAAAGTAAATTTTAAATAAGAGTTAATTCTATTACTATATTGGCAACAATTGAAAATGTATTTATTTAAATCCGTTTCTCAATTTATTTTATGCATTATTTATTAACAAATACAAATAAATTTGTTAATAAATCTAAGATTAAACTGTAAAAAATAAAAAGAAAAATAACAAGAAATTATATAAATATAATAAAATATAATGAAAGTTGTCATATTTAATGAAACAAAAATATTAGACATACAACATGATCAAATTAAGATTTATATCAATAATTGAAAAAAAAAGAGTGAACTAGACAAAGGCAAAAGTAAGAAAAAGAGAAAGAACACGACAAAGAATATAGAACTATAGAAGTTAGGGTAAACAAGAAAAAAAGAGAGGGAGATTTACTAAACAAGTGAGTAACTGAATGAACGAGCGAGTGAGAGAGTGAGAATAAGAGAGAGAGGGGAGAGGAGAGGAGAGAAAGAGAGAGATAGAATGGTTCTCAAAGTCATGCGACGCATCGGTCGAAGCACTCTACCTACAAAGGTTAAGGTCTGAACACTCGTTCACCTTCGAGTTTATACGATTCGTAAAAAAAAATGACCATTGCACGGTGAAAACTTATAACATGATTAAAAGCAAGCAAAAGTTCTCTTGGAACTTGTTACGCTTCTTTCACTTTCGATAACGCGCAACGTAACCGAAGAGTGCACACAGTTTACAAACGATACGAGTGAAAGGGATACTTTTATAAAATAGATCGAAAGGAGATGTATGCCATATTAGTAACTTAGTTCTGTTCGTGTTTCGCATAAACCGGACATCTTTGATCAGAATGATCGTTTTATGAAACTTCAAAGAATTTATATTGAAATAACATGTTCCATAAATATAGTATAGAAGGTGTGCATTTATGCACGCGCGCGCGTACATGCTGGATGCGTACATGCGTTTGTGCACGCATTGTGCGTGGGAATGCCGAGGAAACTGAGTCACAAAAAGAATTTGTTTAATAAAAACTTTAATATATGTTTAATTTGCTTTTACTTTGCAAAAGTTTTTTAAAAATAACGAATTATATTCAAAAGATACATTAAAATTGTTCAAAAACTATTTTACTTTTTGAGTCGATTATTTATCAAAGATGCAATCTCTATTTCTTAATCGATAGAAAATAATGTATTAAAAGAAATAAGAAGTGGTTAGGTAAAAATCATTCGTTAAGTTATTCGCTCATTCGTTCGTTCGGCTTCGTACTCTCAATCTTTAAATCGTTATCGACATACATGCATAGTCGCGGGACTCACCTGATGATCGCGTATGGCATTTTTCAGTTTAGTTTGCACAGTGAGTATTTCTTCTTGCAAACTCTTCGATATCTCCATATTTTTGTATTGTGATTATTCGTTTTTCCTCCCTGTTCAAAAATCCGGCCGATTTTAGCGAGAGAAGAGGAGGACGGGAAACCCCTCCTCCCTCTCACTCTCACTCTCCCACCAAATCGACGAGAGCAGCGGTATACGCTCTGATCAACCGCACGCACGGCGCGCACCAGCCACTAACTCTTCAAGCCACCGCAACGACACTTGATCGTTTTAACTTAAGAAAAGCGAACAGGTAAAAATGTCACAGACACATTTTATCGCTTCGTTACGTACGTACACCCTTATTTCACGACACTGATGAGACGAAACAACGTCGCGAAACCGCGCACCAAAGTGAATTGTTCGCTCATCAACGAGCGTCTGTGCTGCCACCAGCACTGTTGCCTCTGTACACGGACGTGCCAAGTTGCTCGAGATCCCCTGACACCCCTGGCCCTTACCCTCGATCCTTCTCTCTTTCTCTTTCTTCCTTTCTTCGTTCCTCTTGCTATATTGTATGCCCAGGGATCCGACGCGCTCCTTGAAAGAAAGTTTTCGCGCCAAGCTTATAACCGGTATATATACCACGTGAAAGAACTTATCATTCTATATTACAATTTTATTATATGCATTGTTTGCATATGATTGTCGATCACTATGAACTATGCTTACAAATTTACGAAAACACAGGATGTTCAAAGAAAACATTTCCTTGAAGTAGATCTTTTATGATAGTGAACGTTGGTAATGCCGGCGATAGTGGCGCCACATTTGCGATTACGAAATGAAACGTTGTTCATGATAGACACGCTCGTTCTCTGAAATCCGAAGATATGTTTTAGTTTCCGTACTTAAAGATAAGTCGAAATATGGCTATTTTTAATGAACATGAAATTAATTTAATAATTGCATCGAAAAATTTGCTTATTTAATTTTTACATATTTATACTTGAAATAATTAAATTTTTATATAAATTACAATAAATAAATCATTTTATATTGATATTTTCAT